AAGCCTTATAAATTACATGTAGATGCTAGTATGGAAGGGTTAGGAGCCGCCTTACACCAAATTCAAGATCAAGAAATACCAAAAGAAGGAGTTATTTGTTATATTTCTAGAACTTTGAAAGACAGTGAGAAAAAATACGGTGCCAGCCACATTGAATGTCTATGTTTAGTCTGGGCCCTAGATAAATTGTATTATTACCTTGATGGATGTGAATTTGAAGTCATTACTAATTGTACCGCCCTCAAAAGTTTATTAAGTATGAAAACTCCAAATAGACACATGCTCAGATGGCAAATAGCTATTCAAGAATGGAGAGGAAGTATGACTATTAAACATAGAGAAGGTAATATACATAAAAATGCTGATGGACTTAGTAGATGGTCTTTAGAAAATATACCAGAGAACCCAGCCTGGGACGGAGAAATTACTGCAAAGATTATGTGTTTATTTCCAGAGGAAAATAATGAGAATAATCCTACCTTTGATGATAACACTGATGATATTAATATTTGTGGGTTACACGTAACTGAAATGCAAGAAGAATTTTGGGATGAAATTAGGATTAGTTATGACCAAAATAAAAACTGCTCCACAATCAAGAATATATTGCAAATTAATTTCAAAAATAATGATGTGATAAATTCTTTAGAAGAACCATGGCTCAGTTCATTCAAAGAAAATATACTTTCTCTATTAGATGGATTAATTTACCACAGAATTAAACATACAAGTGTAGTAGTTATTTTTTTAAAAGAGCACATTAATTTGTTTTTGAAAGAATGTCACAACAATATCTCTTCAGCTCATTTTTCCTTTGACAGAACAATAGAGAGAGTTAAACAAATTGCTTGGTGGCCCAATTTCAAAAATGATACAAAAGATTATTGTGAATCTTGTGACAGATGCCAAAAAGCAAATAAAGCTACAGGAAAAAGATATGGACTATTGCAAGAAATTGAAGAACCCAAAGAAAGATGGTCTGTTATTAACATGGATTTTGTTACTGGATTACCACCTGGAGGACCTAATAATTTCAATGCAATTTTAGTAGTAGTTGATAGATTTTCCAAAAGAGCAAGATTTCTACCGTGTCATAAAGAAGATACAGCAATGGATACTGCTTTATTATTTTGGAATTCTATTATCTATGATGTTGGTTGTCCCAGATATATCATTACAGATGGAGACCCTAAATTTACGTCAGAATTTTGGAGAAATTTGTGGGATTTATGTGGAACACAACTAAAATTTTCTACAGCTTATCACCCCCAAACAGATGGACTAGCTGAAAGAATGATTCAAACTTTGGAAGACATGATCAGAAGATATTGTTCTTATGGTATGACATTTAAGGATAAAGACAACTATACTCATGATTGGTGTTCATTATTACCTGCACTTGAATATGCGTACAATTCTAGCAAACACAGTACAACAAATAAAACACCTTATGAATTAGAAAGAGGTTGGATTCCTTGGTTTCCCAAAGAAATACTAATGTCAAAAGCAGTACACATTGCATACACCCCAGTGCCTCTGATTTTCATTTTATGATGACCAAAGCTGAAAAATATGCAGCAGAATGCGTGAAATTGGCTGTAGACTACAACAAAACTAGATGGGATAAAACTCACAAAGCTCACCAGTTTAAAGTTGGAGACAAGTCTTAATATCTACATTTAATTTTACAAATCTGACTGGCCCTAAAAAATTAAGAGATTCATTTGTAGGACCTTTTACAATTAGACAATTACACAGTGCAAATGCTGTTGGAGTTATAATCACTGGAGAATTAGAAAGAAAACACCCTACATTCCCAGTCAGTCTAATTAAACCTTATAAAACCAGTAATAATGATAAATTCCCCTTAAGAAAAGATAACATCAGAGTTGTAATACCTCCTTTAGAAAAAGAAGAAATAAAAATTAAGAAAGTATTGCAACATAGGAAAATTAGAAAAAATAATGAAGACATTAAACAATATTTAGTCAGATACAGTGGTACCAAAGAAGATGAATGGCTTACAGTTGATAAAATACCTGATGCTGATAAAATTCTCAGACAATACAGAGCTGATAAAAGAAAATAACCTAAATTTATTTCTTGAATCAGCCTTTTTTAGAGGGAGGAAGTGTCAGCCACAGAGTACATGTCACAGTACCTTTCATGTACCAAGTAACTGAAACACCTGTACTTATGTACATGAGTACTTATCCATAATGTTGTTTACCTTTACCTCTTGTTATCTTATCATTATCTTTATCTTATCTTAGTAATTACTTATCTATTAAATACATACAGATTCCATACTTAAGTAATAATCAATTACCTTTCACTCATTTACCCGTGAAATACCTGTACCACAAGTTATCCTTGTTCTACAGTATTTTCACGGTCAAATACCTTTATAAAGAAATATTTACATGCCTTGAATGTTGAGTATCAATTAATCATTGAATAAATACAATCAATACATGTACTAATATTAATAATGACCTCATTAATTATTGTGTGATCCTAATAATGACTTCATCATTAATTATCCTTGTCCCCAAAGTCATCACGGACAAGAATCATTACAAATAAAATGTACATGTATTGTTTGCATATTGTTGTGTAACAATTGAAGTAATACAATCAATACATGCAAGGATCCTTATTTGATATTTTATTTGAAAGGATCTGTTAGCTGTACACGTCACAAATACTACTTACTGATCCTCTAGTAAATACTATGACAGCTATAACAGATCATTACAAATAAAGATCAGTTACTCAATTAACACTGCTCTCCCTCTTGGTGCTTTCACCCGTGATTCAGAGCACTTCTTCATTTCCCCATTTAATATTCTGGAACTTATAATCCGTGCCACTTCCACTGATTAATCCCCAGAATATTCGAACACCAGTTAAAACAGTTAACATTTATATTGATACATTACACGTAACCAACATAAATCTATTCTATATTTATTGTTCTTAATCTTCAGTACTCTTACTCAACTTATCCACAATATTCATAGCCTTGCTGAATATTCCCATTAACAATATTTATTAATCTTCAACTAATTTTGTTAAAGCTTAATAAGTATTGTTAGCCCATTCCCTTTTGGGAATAAACAAACCAATCCCAGGTGAGTCTTAGTACCCTGGATGCCTATTAATACCTTGTATTGATCTGGATGCACTGTTGATAGCAAGCCTCTCAGTAAAGACCACACTGATAGAGTGAAACCTCCTCATTACAGGACTGGTACTAATCACCCACTACCTAACACTCACCACACTCAAAAACTTCAGTCAACTCATAGTAACAACCTTTTTACTATTAAATACTCAGGTTAGTTACCCAGAGGCTGACATTCTACATAAGTATGTATGGATGAAAAAAAAGGGAAGCTCAAGTTTTGGATACATAGGACATAAGGAACATTGGATGGTCTTTATTTCTTGAATTTGACCCCCCATGCTCCAGCCAAGATGGCACTTCAGAATAAAGTCATTACCACTAGGTTTGATTTGGCACTTGTTGCAAGGCACTCCAGGGTTTGTGAGCGGGCAGAGTTTCCATGTTGTTGTGATTTTTTCTTCCATTTTTGAGGTTGGTCAAGTTAACAAACAATATCAAGTCTCAAGGGGGGGGACTGGAAGGAAAGCCAGGTGGGCAAGGGGTAAGATTCGAAGCAAAAGTCTCAAAAGTCACCTTGTGTTATAGCCCTTCTCAGTTCTGACCTCATCCAAATCTGATCATTGGCTACCATCAGTTTGAACTCACTACAAGTACATAAGTAAAAAAAGATTCCAAACACGTAAGTATGTGTTTTGAACCAAAAATCTGGAAACTGGATTTTTGCTACATTATTTGCCATATTTCATCAGTATGATTTTCAAGAAAAAAAACATTTGGCTACATGTTTCATGTGTGTGTCCTACAGGGGTTCACCGGTGTCCTGTGTGGATCTCGAATGAACTGCAAGTTTGAAGTTTGTGACATGTACCTAACAGGCTCTCTACATAAGTAACGTCCCCAGTTCCAGTCCTCCACAGCTCATAACACTCAGGAGCAGGGGCACTAGTCATAAGTCACTCCCTGAAGGAGGGCTGAGAGCAACTCCACCGCGGCCCGTATTTTTGGGCCGCTAAATTATGATCTTTGGGACTGCGAAGCCAACTTTACAGCCTTAAAGTGCTGCGGCATACACCGCAAGAGTCTTGGATTTGTGAAAGGATGAGTGGTGTGTGAAGTTGGAACGGATTTGTATTGAGGCAGTAGAGTTTCACAAGCTGGTTGTTGTGTGAAAGGGGATTGGGCAGTTGATAGAGGAGTCACTAGGAGTCCCTACATGTAGGGACTCGGGCTTGAAATTTAGGGACGGCCGTAGATTTGAGACACAAATAGCGGCCGCGGTGGCTCACGTTGAGTCGGTAAATTCCAACTAGCGACCCGATTTACCGACCGCGGTGGAGTTGCTCTGACTTTGCCACCAGCCAGCACTTCACACCAGGAGGTACTTTGATAAGCTAGCATCTGTTGGGTCTTTCAGTATATGCAGGTGGTGTGACCAAGCCTCCAAGGGTGCAGCTCTGAGCTGGGAGGCAGAAAAGGCTTGATCCCCCATTGGGGTCGGAAATCGGGGAACAACCGACACCCGGGGAGGTCGGGTATCATGGCCCCTATCTTGGAGACAGGTGGTACATAGGCCCCATCGTTGATCTTCCAACCGTCTTCCACTCAGAACTCCTGAACCCGATCGACTTTCGTTTGGGGCAAACTCAGAATCTAGAAGGACGATGCGCTTCATCTCGGCTTAAAGAACCATCCAACAGAGTCAGTCCACTCAGCTGTAATTATCCAGATTGTCTCGTTTTTCTTACTCACCTTCTGGTTCCTGATTTAGATCCCATCCTTTCATAGCTTCACTAAATTGACAATCAGATACTCTGGTATTGGCGTTGGAACGTCAAGGCCTCAGGTTTTCTTTCAAATATCCGTCGTATATCTAAATCATCTTCAACAAATTCTCCCAAGCAAGATCAAATTTTCCCACTAGTCGAAAGAGACAGCGATATTTGAGCGAGTCAAGATGAGTTTTCATGGATTGGTAAACCTGGTAAAATCGGTTCAAGCCGAACTAATGAGTCAGTCAGATTGTTTCCAACTAGAAATAGTCCTCTTTTTCATACCTGAATTCCTTACTTCCTTTTTTTTATCAATTAATCAGGATGAGATCCCCTCGGGAAGAAAGATAAGGATACTGAACCAATTTTTTGTTGTTGCTGTTTGATATGATCGGATTAAAAAGATGTCAAAGCGACGCCCGGTTCGATCCTAATAGGTTCATTAAGCTTGATCGGCCTGCTGACAGTGGCCAAATATCAACTATCATTCATGAACCTGTTGTTCTGCTTCTCACCATTATCGAAGCCGTTCAAGATCTCATTAGGATCCTTAAAGGGGAACTTATTTCTAAAACAGAAAGACCGACAAGGGGGCGAAAAAGATCAAAAGACGCCGGCTACCAAGAACTCTTCCTCATGGGCGATCATCACCGGACCGACGAATGGGATTGGCAAAGAATTTGCCATCGAACTATCCAAGGCGGGCTTCAACCTGTTCTTAATCGGCAGAAATCCGAACAAATTAACGAGTCTCCAAGACGAGCTGATGAAAGTAAACCCAACGATCGAGGTCGAGATTGAAACGATCGATCTATCCGATAATAACCCAGGGGGTAGAGGTGAAGAGAAAGACTCAGGATCGGTTGCGGTACAAGAGCAGACTCAAAGCAAGGAATGGAAGAAGATCCTCGAGAAACTGAAGCAGATCTCCAGCCGCTCCAACATCTCCATCCTCATCAACAATGCCGGTCTATCCCATTCGGAACCGATCGAATTCCAGATGAACGATCTCGATCAAGACATCAATTCGCTCTTGAACGTCAACGTCTTCTCGGTCTTATACCTCACCAAATTAGTCCTACCCTTCATGTTACCTTACAAGAAAGGTTTGATCCTCAACGTCGGTAGTTTTAGTGCGTTGATCCCGACCCCCTTGTTATCCACGTACGCCGGCTCCAAGGGGTTCTTATACACCTGGTCTCAAGCCCTTGGTACTGAATTGGAACCTCGAGGAATCGATGTCAAGCTGCTAAACACCTACTTTGTAGTAAGCATAATTCATTCTCAAAATCACTGTTTTGTTGAATAAAAAAACAGACATACTGATGACGAACAACAACACATTTACAATAGGCCTCAGAGATGTCGAAGATCAAGAAAGCCAGCTTCCTGATTCCGACGCCGAACGCTTACGTGAAACAAGTGCTCAACAACCTGATCTCGACCAACTCGAAACCATTCATCACGACCGGCTACTTCTCCCACAGTCTCCTCGAATTCTTCTTGGACCATTTCGGCTCGCTGAAGTTTTGGTTGAAGTTCAACTTGAACATGCAACGCTCGATCGTCAAACGAATCCAAAAAAAGAAACAACGCATCCAACAACAACAATCTAAGAATTGATCTTCAATCATACCATGAAATTTAGAATGTCTTTGCCTTTTATTAGATCTCTCTCTCTGTCTCTCCAGATCATCCACCTAATAAAATTACCTTGTGATATCATCTACCAAGTCGATTTTTACTCTTTCTTTTTTCCGTATATTTATTGTCACATGATATGCAAGAATTACCCCGATCCCTATTTTCCACTCTCTCAAAGAATTAAAGCGATCGATTTTCTTGACTGTTACGTACTTGAGCAATTTGATTTAAAGAATCCGGGCAGCAAAAACAAATCACAGAGCTGTTCCATAAGAATTGTTAAAAGGAAATGTGTACAATCCAATTGACATCTAATCTATCTTTGATAAGACGTATTACTAAACCTAGCAAAAAAACGAACAAGTTGATATTCAAGAGAAGTCAAAGAAGCTGTGACAATTATTTGAGGAAAGAGCTCAATCGATCGGTAGTAAGAGGAACTTCTTTTAATTCACAAAACCAGCCCGAGCTAGCTAACTAAGTACCAACGGATGGTAGGACTTTGGGTACACATCAACTTGTAACGGTTAATTCATTCGAAATTTGATTTGATTTTATTTTTTCACAGGAGGAAGAGAGAAAAAGAGTTTTAAGCATAGATGAATGAGAAGCGAGAGAGGACGTGAGGAATAGCAGCCAATTGAGGGCCATATCTAGAATGATTCATCAATGAGAAAACCCCGAACAGATTAGATCTATTTTTTAAAAAAAGCCTATGTGAAAATGGAGAAGAAAAGAGAGAAAAGGATGAAATGATTTACCGTTGAGGGTTATCGTACAATTCAAAGAGAGGAATAGCCAACAATTTCATATTTTTGGGGACCGATAAAACTTCTAGAAAGACACAAAGACGAAGGATCAGTCAAAGATCTCGAGACGATGAAAAGCGAAAAAAAAGAGAGAAGGATAAAGCGAACTTTTTTCAGGCAGTTGAACCAGATAGAGCATTTTACATTCCTTTGGTTTAGTGATGTGAGCCGGGACATAAGGATACTATGTAAGAAACGAAGAGGATGAGTGAGTGAGTGAGACAGAGAGAGAGAGAGGGAGATTAAGAACGACGAACCATGAAACTTTCATCTATGGACACCGAATTCAAGATCCAGTCAGATAAAGCGAGAGATCAAAAGATAGAGGAAGGGAAAGGGACTCAAGACAATTAGGTCTCCACCATTGAGACAGACAGTCCCCGATCTCCCAATCCTTTTGGCCCTGTGCACTCGTCAGACCTGCGCCGAATTGTCCAGCCGGCGGGGCCAGTCGATCGTCCAATCTTTCCTTCAACCCTTCCACATCATCCTCGCCTGGTCTGAGATAATCACCTGGCCTATTTCCTCATCCCAAAAATCCGAAACCCCAATCCGATCAAGTAAGTCTCCTTAACTACCATGTCTTTGAGATCACGAGCAATTAAAAAAAAAAAAAAAGAGGGGGTTGTTACAGTTTGAAGAAGGCGTTGGCGATTTGAAGCATGAGGACATGAGGATGCCCATGTTCATGAACAACCAGGATCCCTTCCACCGTCCTGCGCATCCCGAAATCCTCATAATTATTCTGTAACCGTTGGAGTCTGGAAGTCACCGAAGGATCTTCCTCTGGCTGAGCCTCCTTGGTCGAGAACGTGTAATTCGATAACGGGTATCTATACATCGTCCATCCCCATAAGAAAGATCTCGTCAGTTTCTATCTATCTCTCTATACCGTATCAAGTCAATCGAAATAAAAGAAATTGTTGGACAAACAGGGTCACTGTGGATGTCATCCTTGTAGTAGAGTCCGATCGATCGATTGATTTCTCCGTTCCACCGACTATGTATCTCGACGTTTTCTCTTCTTGGTATGTTTGTTCTCGCTTCGCCGGATATATTTATTTATTTCTGCTTGAGTGGTTGTTGGCTTTTGATCAGTGGTGGTTGTCTTGACGCTTGTTGGGGGTTGGAGGATGACTGAGGGATGTAGTGGAGCTGTCCCGGGGATGTCACAGATCCTGTCACTCCTGCTACACATGCTTCAGTGACAGTGTGTGGTCGATCATCTTTCGGTTTTTCATATTCTTCAACTCAGAACCATCAACAAGACGATCGTCGAAAGGATGAACCAAGCAGAACTCAAGAAACTGAAGGTGTCAGTACATACATACAAAACCCAAGTTACCTATCTTATCTTCATCATCATTCACTAGAACTAACTCAAGCCACCCTCTTCTCCACTGATGATCATGTAGTCCCCAACTGAAGGTAAACAGACTATTGAGTCAACTTGTAATACGAAACTGACTCTGAACTCTTCGCATAGGAACTTCTCAAAGAGCATCACTTGCCGATCACTGGGAAGAAAGACGAACTCATTCAGCGTCTAGTCGATCATCAAAGCCAACAATCACCACTGCCGAGCAACACAGTCTCCCCTCCACCGTCACCCCCACCTGTCAAAACCCTCCCACCACCATCACCCCCACCTGTCGAATCCCTCCCGCCGCCGCCACCACCACCACCTCTACATGATGAATCGTTGCCAACACCACCGCCGCCGCCGCCGCCATCAGAGCCTCAACAAACCCAGAATTCATCACCAACTCCTCCTCCCCCACCACCGCCAGCTTTAGATGAGGATATTGAAATGCAACGGCCGAACAAACGCGTGAAACTCTTGGATGATGATGGAGAGAAAACAGCCCAACCAGATCCTCAGATGGAAGAACAACAAGCAGGTGGTGATGTTCAAGAGGATGAGGAGGAGGAGGAGGAGGAGGATGAAGAGGAGGAACTAGGCAGGGCAGCATTGGCTGCAGCCTCTGGTGGATCAGATCTCTACCTGGATACGGTCAACCGAGACATGCTCGACTTTGATTTTGAAAGGCTATGCTCAGTCACGCTCTCGAACATCAATATTTACGCCTGTCTGGTCTGCGGGAAGTACTTCCAGGGGCGCAGTCGGACCAGTCCTGCTTATGCTCATAGTATCGGCGAAGATCATCACGTGTTCATCAATCTCCTATCAGAAAAAGTCAGTCTTCCTGCCTCTCGAAAGAGCCCCTAAAAGTCATCCCCCCCCCGGAGCTGATATTGACTAACAACACTTAGGTATACGTCTTGCCAGATGGATATGAAGTCTCAGATCCATCCTTGGACGATATCAAATATCTTCTAAACCCTACCTTTACGCCAGGACTGCTACGGAAACTGGATGCCGGCAGTCAAGGGCCGTCCTACGACTTACATGCTGTGGCCTATCTTCCAGGATTTGTTGGACTGAATAACATCAAGGCGAACGACTATTTGAATGTGATCGTACATCTCTTAGCACATGTACCACCGGTACGAGATTACTTTGTCTGTCGGTCATCGGAAGGATCATTCGAACGGGCCCGAGCTTCCGAACTCGTCCAAAGGTTCGGGACATTGATGCGCAAGATCTGGAACCCACGTGCATTCAAAGCTCAGGTGAGCCCACACGAATTCGGCCAAGAGGTTGCCACGCGGTCGGGCGGCAAATTCACCCTGACCGACCAAGCCGATCCTGTCGAGTTTCTAGGCTGGTTGTTAAACACGCTTCATCGGGACCTAGGAGGGAGCAAGGCAAGCGGGCGGAAGGCGGTTGTAAAGGCGAAAGATACCAGCATCATCCATGCCGCCTTCCGAGGGGTCGTCAAGGTGGAGGAGCAAGAGATCGTCGCGATTCCCGACTCAGGCGAGGTCGGCAAACGGCCTCAATTTGACATCAACCAAGACGGGCGCCGATTGATCGAGTCGACGTTCATGTTCCTCACCCTCGATCTCCCCCCGCCGCCGGTCTTCCAAGACTCGGTCCAAAAGAACATCATCCCCCAGGTGAATCTGACGACGCTGCTACAGAAGTACGATGGCTCGAGTAAGGTCGAGCGCAGTGGGATCCTACGCACCCACTCCTGCTCCCGACTGCCCGAGTTCATCATCCTCCATTTCAAGCGGTTCGGGTCCAACTCATTCATCGAGGAGAAGAACCCGACGATCGTCAACTTCCCGACCAAGGGCGTCGACTTCTCCGTCTGTCTCGGCGCTAACCAGCCCCCACAACCAGAGGGAGTCCCCTCAGAATACCTTTACGATCTCCTCGGGAACGTCACCTACTCCTCCACCGCGGGTACCGCTAAGGAAGACTCGCAGTGGAAGGTCCAGGTCCATACCCGCTCTGGCGGCCCCCTCCAATCTTCTGAGGACGATCCGGACCTCAAATCGCCCAAGAAAGAGGACGAGAAATGGTTCCAGATTCAGGACTTGATCGTCGAAGAAGTCAACCGACAGATGGTCTTTTTAGGCGAAAGTTATATTCAGGTATTTCACCCCATCTCCTTAACTTTCGAAAAAAAAAATCTGATATTTCTGAGTTTTTTTTTTTTTTTGTTAACACTAGATTTGGGAAAGGAGAGCAGGATCTTCCCAATCCTTACAGTTCGACGACAATCTGAACACCCTGAGGACGGCATCCACTGCAACGATTCCCAAGCCCGTGCCTGCATCTAAACCGACGGATCAACGGCCGCCCAATGGAAGCGCTGTCAATGGGAAAAAGTGAATCAGGATCTCCCAATCAATCCTGTTGATTGGCTCATCGGAGCTCGTTTCACCATATTTCTAGTGTGTGGTACCGATGTAAATGCTCGTAAGGATTGACTATGCAGTCAGCTCACGATTCCTAAACCAATCATTTTCCAGTGAATCTGTATTGTTTTTATCCTTTGTTTAATCTACTGGGATCACTTCTTATCTTCCTCATGCCCCCCCCAAAAAAAAAAACGTGATATAGTTGCATCAAGCACCATTTGCATAAAGAAATGTTTTTACTGACATGACCAATTGAAAAGGCGTGTAGCTGCAAGTTAGCTAGACAAACAGCACTGGGAAATCAAAAACAAAAAAGATAAATAAAATAAGAAACAGTTGTGATGCAAAGGCAGCAATTGATCATAACTTTTGGAATAACTATGGACAAAAGAAATTTGGATTGACAGAGGATGTGAAAGGGAAAATTTGGAAATGGAAGAAGAACAGCATCATAATAAGCCTTGGATGGTTGGTTAGTCTCTTGCATGACACTTGTGCAACGGGTGGATCTTTGATCTCAAAGAATGCATACAGTGAAAATGTGATGGTTGGCTTCAGAACAAAATTCCATTGCAAGGCAGCATGCACAAACAGTTGAGATGGCAAGAGACTATCACAAATTGTAAGAATTTTGCAAAAATAGAATGGACATTTGTAATTAATTGCACCCTCCCCCCGCATTTCCTGAGTTATTGGAGAACATCTGTTCAATGTATTCAGTTCTATTTCAGTATGTCAGGTTACCATTTATATAGAATTGGATCAGATTCTACCTACAGATTAAATGTTTCTTGATTTGAATAGCTGGATGAATTTCAAAATGATTTTTGTCAAGAAAAATACTTGCTTACTTCCCTTTTTAAAAATAATCAGAAAACTTGATTTCATAATTCTTGATACTTTCCATCTCTGGAAGGTTTTCAATCACAGTATCCCAATACGATTTGTTGTTTTGAAAGACTTTGATGAAATTCTGATGTGAATTCTTCTTGAACCAATACCCAATCAATGAAAGAGCTACTGGTGCAGTCTTTTTGTAAGATATTGGATAGCTAAAATAATTGATCAAGAAGATTTGGACTTCACTAAAATATGATGAATCAAGACCTCTCAAACTCAATCCATCTTCCTTCCATTTAAAATTTCCAAAAACTGGCAACAGATTTTCTTTCTGGGTCATCAGCAGATCATGGACCCATTCAAAGAACTTTCTAGGATGAAGTTCTTCCAAGTTTCCTGCCATGTTTTTGGACAACAAAAATTCCACAAATGCCAAGTGAAATCTTTCCAAGTTGAAGAGTAACAAATACAACTTATCAAAAATCAATTGCTTGTTGGGTCTTTTTCCTTTTTGAAGGATGATCCATGAAACCCCTTTCAACCCATTTTCTCCATCCTTTTTGACCTTAGTAAGCAGAGCTGGGAAGTTCTTGGATTGTATTGATTCATAACGAGGATCTTGGTTTTTCTGCAAGGAAAAAAGTGTAAAGCTTTCCAAGATTGTATTCACCTCCTTAGAAAACTCATATTTCAAGTGTCTGGAATATCGCTTCACTCTCATCATATCTGGAAATACATCTGATCTAAGCAGTTCTGAGGTTCCCATTTCTTGGGAACTTTCAAGAATATTGCTAGGAGTTTCTTGTGGAATTTTGATGCTTGATTTGATTGCATTGTAAATAATAGTTTTCAATGATTGATCCAATTCTCCCTTGGAATGCAGATCTCCAAGCCACTTCCATACTATTGGTTTGAAATACTTGTAATAAATTTTGATTATTTCCACTGCATGGTTGAGGGGTTTACTTCTGGATATTGGTTTAGATAGGTAGTCTAAGAGGATGTACTGAATCGGACCAAATCCTTCCCCTTTTTCCAACTTGGTTAGGTCTGCAATATTTCCACATATGGGATAACTACCTTCAGGATGAAAAGATTCATTGAAAAGCCACATTACTATATCATTGTGAGAATCATACTCCTCTTCATGATTGCTGAATGGTTTATCAAAATTCAAGACTACTGATGTATTTATGAGGATAAGCCACTTGATCAACTCTTGAAACTGATGGAAGAGCTTCTGGCTTCGTTGAGTTCTTTGTTTGGATCTGTTTGAAATTTGATGCTTCAACATGATTCTGATTGAATATGACTTTGGAGGGTATTGTTGAAGGATTTGGACTGGGATACCAGTTTTGGAATAGTATTCTATGGAGTGGTTTCTGTGAGTAACTTGAAACAGTTCTGACAATTTGGTTTTGAATTTTTCTGTAAAATTAAACAAGAAATTATAATCAATTGTTTCTTTTGGCATGACAAATTCTTCAAGAGAAATGTTGCTATCTTCTGGAGGCAAGCTCAATCTGTTGTCACCTTTGACAAGTTCTTCATGGTGATCTGAATTTTGATCATTGAAATTCCCATTTGTCCCATGACATCCACAGATTGCATCATCAGTTTTAGAGGCAAAAATCGAAAGAGAATTCTCAACTGGTTCTTGAGACAATATTTCTGGATCAAAAATGTCAGATCAATCTTATTTTCAACATCATTATACATTTTGTCTGGAATAGAATTTGAAATGAACACTCACCTTGATTATTAATTGGAGAATGATCTGAGGATTTGGAATTGTCTTTTTCATGTTGATTAGAAATTGTATTCCCAAGTATTCTTAACAAATCAGGTGCATTTTTCATGGTAAATGAACCTATATCAGGAGTGTTGAATGATTTTAGGATCCAAATCAGAAATAAAAGCATCTGTATCAAAATGTGATTTCTTACTTACTTTCATTTCTTTCACCGGCTTGTATTTGGGGATAGCACTGCAAATTGGAAGATGATTGAATATTGCTTTTATCATTTCTGGTTTTCAAATCCCTCTCTGGGGAGCGAAGATATAATTCTACTTCTTTTAATCTTTTATTCCAATCAGTGTCATTTTGTCCCAGCTTGCAGTTGCAGGAATTATTTGGAATGTAGGACATTCTAATTTTCTGAGAATTACACATACCAGAATCAAAGCTTTCTGTAGACCCTAAATGAAATATTTCTGAGCTTGTAAGAATATGATTTTCTTCTGCAAATAGCAAACCATTATTTATTGTAACATCAGGAGAATGGGATGCATGTGTATGTTGAGCAGTATTTGTTGTGGCTTCAGGAAGGCTAGAAATAAAATGAAAGTCCTTGACTGTTTGTTCCTCCTTTAAAACTGGTGTGAAAGTTCCACACAATTTAAAACAGGTGGTTAGAGCATTATTGCAAACAAAAGCTATGGAGGGATATTTTTCTTGGAATAAAAAAACTTGCTTTCACACCCAAGATCCAACAGACCATTATCATGAGTAGCCCTGCAGATTTTAGAATCTGGGTGAGTCCCAGGGTGACCAGCTGGTTGATAACTGATTACACCATCATGATTATTCAACTTTTGACGCTTTGTGCTATCTGATTGAAATCTGTATTGGGGATTTAATGGTTCTAAAACAGCGAAAACAGGTTAGCTGAAAGAGATGATGATATTTGCACTTCATTCAATTTGAGCCCCAACTTTCTTATGCCTTACCTTGGTAGCCATGATCAAATTTGAGCTCAGCCTCATCAGCATTCACTTCTCCCCTGTTAATCATGTTGGTCTTATTTTCTTGATAACTGTTTTGAGTCAAATCAAACATGGGATCAACAAAATGGCTTTTGTCTGGGCCTAGATACTCAGGAGGAGCCATTGAAGAACTGGTAGGGAAGTGCCATAACAAAACTGTTTGTGCAAGATGAATCAAATTGAAAATCATTTTCAGGTAGCTTTTCAAGTTCCAGTGTTTGACAACTAGTTCTACACAAGTAAGACGGATTTATTAGTGTACTCATGAGACCTGAGTGGAGAAATTTGAAGAAATGTAGCTCTAGTTGAGCTATCATATTTTATGGTCTGCATTGGTCAAGTCGAGGGAAGACGAAGCAGCTCACTGTCTGCGACTCTGCCTAACCTAATTCTCGGTACTAATGATTCAGATTTCGGTACAATCGACTCAGACATCACTACAGAGGACTTCGCATTTATTAAAGACTCCGCTCGATCATTGGTCAATCAGAAAACGGAGCACATTCATTGGGATGTAAGGTGGGGAAGCGTCAACTTTCTGGTGATGTGGAGGTAGCACCCCGGAAACCTCCTATCTTCAAAATAAGCATAACTTTGATTATAAAACCAAAAGGAGGTGGGTAAAATATGTAGAAACATGACTGTCGCTCAAATGAATACCTTGAGGGAGTTGCAATTTGTAGGCTATCAACGCGTTTTTCATGACTGCGCAGGTCAACATCGCCGGGCAACCTGCAGGTTGAGGGTTTTACGGAAGATGTCTGTCTTAGTTCTTCTCCCTAGTATACAAACCAACGAAATTATTGCGCAGAAGTAAGCCATTCCGTGTTTGTGTTTGCTACTAGAGCTGCCTCCCGATTCCTGTCAGTTGCACTTCGCTGTTTCTCATCGCCACCGGAGTTGTACGGATTTGATCTTGTCTTGCAAATCAGGATTGACGGAATTGGATAGTTTTCTCCTTCATGATGACATGACAAGAAAAATGTATGCAGTTAATGGAGTTTTGTTTCGTGAAAATTACAGTTAAACCAGGAATAATTCAGAATGATTCTGGCTCTAGATAGATACACATGATTGAACCCTTGGCCTAGTTGGAGAAGAACTATTCAGGTCAAATCACTGCAATACGTGTCTATTCAAAGATAAATATTACTATGATTTGTCCTTGGGTTTCTTTTAATAGGAAGCTAAGAAAGGAGTATATTTTTGGAGCGAAGAAGCCACCCCAAAAGGCTACATAAATTGCATTACGCGGTTTCCTCAGATTTTTGTCTGAACGATTTGAGTGAGAAGTGAAACTGTTTAGCTTTTTGAGGGGTTTGTTTTGTACTCTTCCTGGAAGTCGACCAAGCTTGATAAAGAATTCCGAGGTTAATGGAAAGCCCATAAAATGCAAAGAGCACTCTGGTTAAATGTAAATTGAGATCCTGGTTGGGTTAGCTTTTATCCGTAACTCCTATGAAGTGTTAGGTGACTAACAGAAGAATACCGATGAACCGCATTCGAATCTTTCCGTCCTTGAAAACGACGTCTGGAACAATTGAACCCCAAAGTGTTAAGCAAAGTGTCCCCACAGTGACGATCGTGTAAGAAAGCGAGCTAAAAATCAAAGCCCGATCTGCGTTGCCTCAAACGGATTTGTACGCAAATAATAGTAAGATCTTTGTATTACAATATTATAATGGAAACGGGGCTCACACGAATTATTCTTGCTGAGGTTTGTCTGCGATCGCTTCACTGCTTTTTTTGCATGTCCCTGGCCCTGAGCAGCAGCAATTGGCGAATCAAGATGGATGATAGGGCTGCCACCAAGCTCTAACGGCAGGCTTATTTCATGGGGCGAAATTCTATCGACCGGCTTTGGTTGACTGAGGAAATTTTCATCGTCCACCTGCTTTTTGAATATCTTCAGTTGGATGATAAAACATGGTAACCAAATCGCGAAATTGATTATTCCGCCGAGTGACCAACACGCAAAGCTGATTTGCATGCTGTTCGTAAGATTGAGTGAATCGCGATGCAAGTCGAGCAAGAGTGGCAAAAGCTCAGGAACCGAAGAGAAGTTGGGTGGGCTTGATGGAGATGGGCTCTTGAGACATTGCTGATAGTCCGACGCGAGTGTTTTCAGACTTTCCATCCGCACGAAAATTTGTCGTACCTGTGCTTGTAAGGTGTTGGCCCTTATGATCGCATAGGCATCTGAAGTGATGATAGCAATTGAGACTATCACGGGCAGCCCAATCACCAGACAGTTCCACATTGTGGAAGACATCTGAATTGTTTTCGCATTTTGTAAGCCTAGAGTGCTATTCCTCACTTCAGGTTGGTTAAACAAACTCAAGGCGGCAATAGCGGCTCCCTAAAGAAAATGGAAACTATCGGTTAAACGGCAAGTCCAAACTTATTTCTGCGGATGAGTTGATTGATCTTGCTGCTCACCCAAACCATGCTACAACGGAATGTATCGACCATCAGAATATGATCAAAGAGAAGGTACAGAGAGATGCTCACCAAAAACTTCCTAGCCAGACAGGGTACCATACCATGGTTTGTATGATCAAAGGGTTGGGTAGGACCTGATGATTATGAATACGACCAATACAGTCAGTCCACTCTTTCCAATTGACGCTGTACCTTGAAGATGAATGAATCCCGACCTTTCCATCCCACAAGTTGATTTCGTCTGCAATTCAATAGATAATATGTTCAGTTAATAAGATTACCATCTTGTTTGAGCAATAGGTCAACTCACAGCAGATGAGGAGTCCGACACCGAGAGCAGAAAAAATCGAGGTCAAAGCAAACATGGAGCCCACTAAACATATAATAAAATTCTCGTGTTATTCCGATTACTCCTGCATCCAAAAACTCTGATGATCTAAAGCTGCTCACCATGTGGAGTTAAATATGCACCGTCACTTTTGTGCAGGCTACGCACAAACCACAGGGTACCTCTTCGCCATCTCAGAATCATGCTGGCACAGCAAACAATGATCACCCTAGGGGAAAGTAGTAAGGTGGTTAACGCGTGAGAATGAATTTTGCCCTTGTTATTTCAAAAGATCGAACATTTAAGCTGAGGAGCTTACCAAAGCATTATGACAGCGATAAAGCAAAACATTATTCGCATCGTGAAGCTTGGCGTGTACCTCACGATGAACGCGGCAAGTCGCGCTTCGGCGGAAGGTTTCGCTTGGTAAAGGGTAATAAATCGGCATATAGTAACAATCAATTCGTCCGGGGTAGAGGAAGCGTTGGTGGTCATGGTGAGTTAGCTAGCGCTTGCGCACCATGTGAGTTTAACAGAGAAAATTTCGAAAGGCAACCTGGCTTAAAAATCCTGCCTTCGCATGCTGGTTAGTGAAACAAACAAACAGTTTGAGAAGATGTATCTTGATTGAATTGACTATTCCTGATGGAGTAGAGGTTCTGGCTTAATTAAAAGCAAGCATATCGGGTACAGTCAGGACTCTTGCCGCTGGGGTCCTGAACAGCCACTTAAGGGTACCGGCCACTTCATCCTTAGAGACAGTTGGATTACCTGCATGTATTAATTTTTTGTCCCTTGTGGGCGACAGTAGCTGGCATGGCATTTTTTTTCTAGAGTAATAATGTAAAACTATTGTACGTAAAACCGGGTACAAAATGACAGAAAAGCACACGAGAAAGCCGATGGATGACTCTCGCTGGAGGTATGTCCTGTATCCATCTCTGAAGCATCTTCATTCTGGCAGATGCTCAGTGACGATCTTGAATACATTCCTCAGGCAGAATACCGGCCGCTTCTTTGGAAGAAATCATAAGATACTGATCGATGATCTCTTTGAAGGGATTTCGGGAATTCACTCTGTATTTCATGGCCCTGTGCCACCATGCTCAACCCTTGGATGCAGTACATAATTCAAATTTGACCAGGAAATGCGAAAAAGCAAGGGTAGCTCAAGTAAAAAGCTGTCATAGGAACGAGATCAAAGTAGAATTCAAAGTCTTCTTCTATATCCGAGATCACAGACGATAACAAGCTTCAGTTTGGAAGGCAAGAAAAGGATTCTTGTAGAAGAATTCCACTCAAGTCTTTGATTGATGTCGATGGCAATATCCGGGGGAGCCTGAGGGGCCGAAGGGACGGTTTGAGGGTCACTTTTTTCCTCATTGACAAATTAATCAAGGTATGTAATTCAAAGCTGAGTTCATCTTCTTGACAAGCCGTAATTTCAGCTTGCATAGACAAAAAACTGAACCACTTTACCAAACAAACTAATTAAATTGCGAAATACAGCTGCGGATGGCAAAAACCGACGATGCCCCACCCACAAAATTCAAAATTGATACGCGGGGTCTATGCCCGGGGGGGGGGGGGGGGCATGTACCCCAATTCTTATTTTTATTACAATTTGGAACTCCTACAGATGTGTAGAGTTCAAAATTATAACCGCTAAGCTTCTACATATTGCAGCAGTTCTTTTTTTTATTTGTGTGACATACATCTATTAGGCTTATTCATGGCTTATACCTCTCAGAGTTCCTTCAAGCACCTTCAGCATCAGCTGGGAGTGTTTATTCAATACTCCAATCCAGTTTTTTATGACTCTTTGGCCTCAAAAGGGCTTCAAAACCATGTAAATTCCACAAAAAAAAAACTGATTTTTCAGCAAATTTATTTGGACACCCTCCAAATCCAGGGTTGGTTTTTACCATCCACAAATGTAGTACAATGCTTTGATCTGTTTTTGACATTGATACCAAGTTCATCCAATTGCTTATAAGCAGCATTTTTGTTCAAATCCTTGATGGCAAACAGTGTTCAATAATTTTTGACAAATTCACATAGGTATTTTGGGAAAATAATTTATCCTGAAGTTCTGACAACTTGCTTCAAGTCTTGATCTGTTAAAAAATCAGGCACTTTTTTTGGTTCTGGTCAGGCACAATTGAGACAGGCAAAGACTAAGGTTTAATAAGTGGTGTAAAAAAATTGATCACCAAGCACACAACCACAATATCCATAAACTTGCTAGAAAGCTCAACTGGAATATTGACACCAGAAAATACTATTCAACCCATACCTCAACTCAAAGTTTCCCTCCCTCTTAATACTACAGTGGTGAAACACTGGTTATATTTTGTTGATCAGAGGGGAAATTATATGCATTATGTCACTCCCAATCCCAGACCAACTAGTGTTTGGCCTTGTTTTGAAGCTGGCTTTACTCTGCTGAGTGTAGAGGTCCATGGCAAAGAAATATTCAATTGGCTGAATCTTCTCAATCTCGTACTAATCCTCTTCATCTTTTCATTCTTATCTTGACCTGTAAAAGAAAACTTTGAGGCCCTAAAATTTTTTATTGAACATCAGTTCTTATGGGTCTCTAATAGGAAATATTTTTATAGAGACTGAGGAATTTTTCCTAAATCATACATTGTGAATAAGATTTAGTTGGGATTAAATGAAAACCTAATGTTCAATTCCTGACAAAACATATTTTGACATGTGATTTTGGAAAGTATGATTCAATTTTCAATACCCTCAGACAAACAGGGCCTAAAAAAACTTCTACAAGATAGATATAATTTCCAATTCTTGAGGTATTCAAATCTGAGAGAGTAAAAAATTGTTTTGTATGGCAAGGGAGTGGTTTTCAAGCATCCAAGTTTGGGTGTGAATTTCAAGTTGTCAAATTCATTTCAGTGGCTAAGTACAGCTGCACTTGTGGGGTTGTCTTATGCAGGGATGCAAGTACCGGGGGTCTAGACCCCCAACATTGCAATCTTCACAGCGATCAACCAAGCGTACTAATATACCAGGGCATTGGTGATTGTTTCCTTGGGGACATGTCCAAGTACACTGCACATGTGAAGTCTCTGTCTCCCTGTTTTCATGCTGACATGGGACTGGATTTGCCGCATGGTCTGGCTGCAGATTGAGAGCTTGGACCAGAAGGAAGCCTGAGATTGCTGCAAAGATGCAGAGTAGCTTGACACACGTCATGCCAAGGCAGTAAGCAGATATCAATATAAGCTTTCAAGAGGGTGAATTGAACTTGGTTGATTGCAATTGATCCACAGGTGTCAGCAAATGTGATTTCTGTTGACTAGGCCAGTGGGAATGGGAATCAATGCCATCATTTTGGGGAGATAAATGCTACCAAATCTCAGAAAAATCAGTCAATTCTCACAAATTTTTGTGAAACTTCAGGCCATTTCAAGAAACTATATCTACTTCTATTTCAGAAATACCTGTGGATATCCATGAATTTCTTCTTTTGGGTGGAATCTTTCTAGTCATCAAAATGGTTCCCTAGCTCCATCTATATGATTTGTATTATATCAATCTTTGAGTTTCAAGACAAATTCCAACTGATTGAAACCTTTCTTTAATTTGAGCTGGAATCACAGAAAGTTCAAGCAGAAACAATTCTGGATTTAAATTCAAGTAACAAGGGAAAGAACTTTGTTTTTAAACACTTGTTGAAAGTAATAACCTAGTTCAAGCTTTACATCAGGTGGAGCTCCTAGTGTTTCAGTAATCCAATACTACATAGAGCTCTTGGTTATTGGTGTCCCTGGTTTTCTTTCAAAAAAATGGTGGGTAATACGGTTTGATTTACAAGATTTAAGGTGATGAATCAGTGGATTCCCCGCTTGGTTTTAGTTGAAGAGAGAGAGAATTAGTGTGAGTATGATCAAATGGTAAGTGAATTTATTTTTTGTGTACATTTCTTCAGTATTCAACAATATTTCTTTAGCCTTGACCAAGCATTGCCCCTCATTTGTTCAGCACATTTAAATGAAGCAATTGTATGCAATAAATGGGCTCTCATGACCCTCTGGTCATTCTGAGGTAATTCTGTCCCATTGTTAACCTGAATCTTTGGAATCTCAAATTTCTTTCTCACTTGGTCAGCTGGTATAGTCTAGCCTTTTCCAATGGCCCTTACTATAAGCTTGAAAGTTGATTTTTTGTTGTTGTTCAGAAACATCAGTAACCAGAAAAATTTTCTACCTTCTCAGCCTTAATTTCCATGATAAGAAACACCCTCCATGTATCCCCCTTTCAAGAATGTTGGTCCCACTACAAGCAGTTACAATGTTTCTATCACCTGTTAACACTGCGGTTTTTTGGTTTATCTTTCACATTATCCATCCTGCTGCTATATCCACATTTATACCCATCACATATTTTTTGAGTCTGAGTTGTAATACTCTCTAATACTGTTGAGAACAAAATTGATGACCAGGTAAAAATTAAAAGAGATCTTCAATCCCATTAAAAGTTCCCAGAAATTATTAACTTTTTAACATGCAAAACTTTACTAGATTTTGTTCATGATTTTAATTTTTCTTATCATAAAAAATATTTCAAGAGGTAGATGAAACATTTTGAGCCAACTGGTGTAGCGCCCCAGCAGTGTTCTATTTCTTTATTATGTATATAGGAGACTTGAAGGTGTTGCTAGCCTGAATTATGCTGCTTTTAAGATGAAGTCACTCGGTTGGTTTCCCGATTATGTCATCAACAGCCATCCTCACTCCGACTCGCAGCAGCTGGCAGAGTATTTCGATGGTCTTTCTCCTACAATTTCCCTTCAAGTTAATATAGCTGGTTCTACTCAAGCCCAACCATGTCAATCTTCAAGGCAATCAACAACGTCCTTGGTGTTGGAACGAAAACCCCCAGCACCCCTCGAGTCTCCTCCAATTCTTCCACCGACCGACCGGCCGACACCTCGCAATCTCAACTAATCACCTTCCAAAACTCATGGCACATCATCAAGGTCAGAGGGCTTAGCAATATTTCAATTTCAACAGGGAATGTTAAAAAGAAGGACAGAGAAACTCAGCTGGGTTCTTTTTTTTCTGCAGAACTCACTTTCTTCCCCCAGGCAGCGCCATCAGCTACTCGAATCAACCTCTATCAAGGAAAGACTCGAGCTGATGTGGGAGTGTTTGGCGGTCGAAAACAACATCCCGATCACTAAATCGAATCCACCACTTTCTCCTATTGTTTCCCAAACTCCAGAATGTGTTGAGTATTGTAAGTACTTTTTTCTACTTCCTTATAGATCAATTGTCCAATTTACTTTTTTTGGTTTATACAGTTCTTGAAAATGACGTACCCGGAAATCTCGTCGCATTATCCTTGCCCGATCAACCGATCGGCGTCAAAGGATTGGTCATCAAATTCTTCTTATCACTCGTCGTCTTCATGGACGAGAAATTTGTAGTCCACGCCAAAGTCCACAAGCCATTGGTCAGACTCTTGCGAAGTTGCGTCGAGCCAGAGCTAGGTTCAGACGAAGGGGATGATGCCGGCTGGGGGATTGGAAGTTTGAACTATGAGGAGGCTGTTGTAGAACTAATGTGTCGTGAGCAAGATTGCCCTTTTCTTTGTTCAACGCAGCATGATTTGTTGAGCTAATTTTGACTTTTTTTTTCTTAAAATCAGATTTGTGTGCTCGAATTAAAACATACCCAGAACTTTTGCTTGTTTTTATCCACAATCGCTCTCGTTCCTCCCAGGCACAAACCGCCGAAGCGGTTGATGAGCCGTCGGTTGTTCAGCCTATGCCAATTACCCCGTCGAGCTCCCAGACGCCTGCTCCAACTGGTGTTGGCAGCCAGCCAACCACACGCAAATCAGTTCATTTCTCCCCCGTACCGCGTCCGCCTTCCCCATTGACTTCAGATTTTTCAGCAGCCGGTAACACGGGCAACAGTCCTACTCACACCACCCTCAGCTCCTCCTTCTCATCCTCAAGCCACCATTTGTACAACGAGGCTACCAGGAAATCAGATTCCAAGCTGGCTGCAATCGGCAATGCACTGAAAGGAGACTCAGACATGCTGATATTCTCATACCTTTTGCGCTTCCTCCATCGTGAGGGTCGGACCGGTGATCTTGCAAGAGCTGGACTACTTTTCTTGATGGAGTTAGCGATGGGCCGATGTTCCCATCCACCAGGAGACGCCGTCCTCAAGTCGCAGCCATCTCAAATAACTGACCCTGATCAACCCACCCCAGCTGATACGATCTCTATGGCATTTGGAGAATGGGTGCTCGACTCCGATTTTGCGGATGTATTGGGCGCTAGCTTAGGGGCTGCCTATGGCTTACTACCAAGCAAACTCGTCATCACACCTCGTGACCCAAGCAGTGAGGACTCAACGGGAAGAATGGTCCTAGGGGGCATGGGCATACATTTCTCTGAGGGCTCAGCTGAAAGTGCACAGGCGATCCAAGAGAAGGAGAGGGAGGAACGTCGTCAGAGACTTCTAATCGGCCTAGGCGTCTCAGGATCAGCTGAATTCAGGACACAGATCGATCTTTTCTTGAAGATGATCGAGTTTGCTCAGGACGTGATGAGGAATGTGAGTCCTAGTACGTTGGACCATTACGTATCACCCACCGAACTGCTTTTAGCATCCCAAACACCCGGGTCAGCATTCCTTGGTTCCGCTCCCCCGCCAAGACTCAACCCAACTAGCCATCTTCCGGAACCAGTGCACGATGAATCTGGACCTAGCCCGTCGGAAATCGTGGCTTCAGCTGTTTCCTCGACCGTCCTTCTTTCAATTCGGAAATCCTTTCTCACTGGGATCATATATCCCTCTCTACTCGAATGCTCAGAAAATGATGGCAGCGCGGTGGCTGTGATGAGCTACCTCGAAGCAACTTTGTCACTACTGGAAACCGACGGCGAACTGAGCGATAGTGTGCTCAGATTTTTAATGGCTGAGGCTGATGAAGATTTCGAGTTAGATGCTGGCCTCCGTGTTGGTTTTCTTTTCTTCTTCTTTCGTTTTTGTTGTCCTTCTAATGTCACCTCCAAGAACAGTTTTCTGATATCCGTTTCGGTTATAGGCAAGTTCAAATCAGCCCGAAGTCATGCAACTAGGACCTTCCTCTCCTTTCATCAATCCCAATCGACGAAACTCTGGGGCGATCTCAATCATCAAGGCGGATTTCAACAAAGCCAAGTCTGGACGTCGGGTACGAAATGAGGGGGATAGATTAATGTCTGATACTGGGATTACTTACTTTAATTCGTTGGGGCGATTCACGTTAAAAGACTTGTTGGTCAATAATATTCAATCTACCGACAGCCCAACAGCTACGGCAGCTTTGAAGTTATTACATGTGATTCTAGTCAGACATGATCGATACGCCCTTACCTTATTGGACATTATTCCAGATCCGAGGGCGACAGCATTTCCCTTTCCTCACAGCATGGACGTAAACCAGAAAGAAAGTGGGCTAGATTCAGATTCACAAATGTCCGACAACGAAGAGTCGGAATTTGTTTATCCCACAGATGGTAATCAAGTTAATTCAGATGATGAACCAGACGATGCTGAGGAAGAATTTAAATACCCCGGGGGAAATGAACATGTCAAATCTGCGTCTGATGAAAATGAAGAATTCAAGTATCCAACGCCAACGAAACCACTAAGTGCCCTATCTTCGGTTACTCCAGCCACCCAGTCACATGCGCAAAGTACGAGCACGGGCCGATCTCACTGCTTGAAGCCCTCTTTTGATTTGGTTAGAAGTATCCACTGTTCGCCATGCCCAACCTACCGAGCTCACCGAGATGAGATCGAGTTTCTATCAAACTTGGTCGAGTTGATTGACCCATCTAGTATGGTGATGAAAGCCGATTCAATCCCTGGATCTCTTAGCACCGCCTTTCAACATTATTTGTTAGATGCAGAAGCTGAATTGACTGGAACGGCTACATTCCGTCGTGGACTGCTGTTTGACTATGTTTCAGCTTCCGTGATCCCAAGCTCTCAACCTGCCGGAGACAAGCGCCAAAGTATGCGACCCAGCAACTTCAATCACAATCAACCAGCCTCAAAGCACGAATCTCCATTGGACTTCATCGATCAACCGGTGATTCGGCACCGACTTTCTGCTGAAACTCCTCTAATGTCTAGCATTTTGGAGTCACTAGCCAAGTTTTTTGTTCAGCCGCCGGCTCTAAACTTGATCCTCACCGGCTGTGTTGCTACGCTAGCTTCGTGTCCTACAAGGTCTTTAGAAGGATGGATGTTGCCCATCCCTAACCCAGATGATGATGACGATTCATTTGACCAATCGGTCCTCAGCTCATGTACTCCCCGGAATCCGATAGTTGATTATGACGAAGGAGACGATCGATCGATCGACTTTGCTGTGGACGAATACGTCAGCAGTCATCGAAAGTCGAGCTCGAGGAGAACCTTTGAATCTTCTTTTAGCCGACCCCAAGGCGCAAGTGATGCGGATTGTCTATTGGAAGTCTATCGACAACTCGCTGAACAAGTGGCAGGTTATCGTAGAACGATCACCAACTTTGATAAATACTTGAAAGAACGTCGCCAAGGTTTGATCTTTGTTGAGAATTTGGAAGATGCGTTGGATACTCTGACAGGCACGATGTCCAAATCTGAAGTTGTTGTCGAGAAGGATCAACGGACGGCCAATCCAGCTAGACAACCGATCCAAAACCCCAAAAAGCCGAGCGTCTCTCCTGTTGAACCGCCCACGAAGCCGAAGGATTCTTCGTTTTTTTCATCGTTCTTTAAGGCTAGTAATCCTTCCAAGTCACCTTCGCCAACGGCTCCCAGTCCACGGACACAGTCTGACAGACCAACGGATCCGGCTGGGGGACGGGGGAGTCGGTCGGTGGCCGTGAAGCCGTTCTCGGACCATTACCAACAGACCGGCTCGATCAAGCTGACCATCGTCCCCGTAAGCACGCCGGGCTCAACCAAAAAACGGCAGCGATCGCTACTCAAGATCGATTTCTCCGACGAGGAAGAAACCGACACGGATTCAGAAAATCCTGGGCCAGACACCCCAACCAAAAAGACCCTCCATGGCTCACAACTGCCCTCCGTCAAACTCTCGCAACCGTCCTCGAGAAAACATAGGGCCGAAGAAGCTCCGCCTGATCACCCCGTCGAACCCGATAGCCCCCCTCTTGATAATGAGAAAACCGTGATCAGCTTGTCTATGCTCTTAGATAATGTCGTCATCTTGGAAGAGTCGATCAAAGAATTGGGCGCAATCATTAGTGCTAGAAAGTCTCTTGGTATCGATCCCGTTCGGATCCTTTAACTCTTATAATCTCTTGCTTTTTTTTCCTTTCAGGATCGCTCTTTCTCTTCTCGCCTTTTTTGGCATTTTTATTATTAACTTTCTTTTACACACCCGGGTAGTTTTCTTTCTTTTTTTCATGTATTCTTTGTGGCCAAGTTCTTATTGCATGTTGCTATTTAAAATCAAAAAGAGAGGAAGATACTGAATTTACCAACTCGTCTTCCATCGTTCATCTGCAAATACATTAATTTTCTATGCTTTCCTGGCTTTCTCTTTCTTTTTCCTGCTTTCTTGTTCTTTTTTTATCATTATTATTGTGGCCCTAGAAATGAATTGTCGTGCTCACCTCTCCTGTTTCCCTGTCTCTCTCTCTCTCTCCCCTCCCCTTTTTTTGGACATTTTGATTGATAGGACGTAGATCTTGTAGATGGGTATATTTATTGCATATTGAAAGTCTTGTTATGAGAGGAAAACAGCCGTTTGACATAAATTCTTTGAAATATTATATGAAGTCGGACAACGTGGGTTAGATGAAAGAGAGGACAGCAAGCCCTGAGAGAATGGAACATCAGGTTCTCCATAGGTTTCCTGCCAACATAAAGAACAGCCAACAAAATCAAGCTGCACTGAATTTAAAACAAGGTGCTGAAAAATTGGGTACCAAGGAACGAGTCACTGAGGCTCTCCTCACGTGCAATCTAACTTGGAGAAGGTGAAACTCAACTAATGATCAATCAGGATTCCCTTTGATGAGACAAGGCCCAAAACCTCAACATGCAAATAATATCTTGTCCAGGAGACATTAAATTGGCATCAGGACCATAAACATACCATGGCAGAATCAACAAGACAGGAGAAGAGAAAAAGAAAACATGTGTAACTAGAGAAGTTGCATGATTGGTACAAGACGCAGAACAAACTGGATATATCAAAGGGTAATGAATCTGCAGATGATGTCAATGACATCATAGTGAGACTGTATGATTTTCAGATTTTGGAGTTTGTGATTTTACCCATGGCTTTGACACTGCAGAGTTCAAACATGACTTGAAGCCTGTCTGTGGTCGGTATGGCGCTGTGTCGGAGGGTACTCATTGAGGATATTGTTGCATTTGGCCGGTCCTGTTCAGATCACTGGGTTGCCAGAAGAGAAAAGGCGCCGGCTAGACCTGGCCGGCTGGACAAGGCCTGCGAGGAATGGTCGAGCCGATGAGATCGACAATTTTACCTCCCTCCGCCACTACTAACTACGTTCATCAAGATCCTTCCTCAGAGGTCCCGGTGGAGTATGTCAACGGACACTTTTCACCACGAGAGCCTAGGTTTGGCTTCACAGGGAGGCCAGTGGAAGTCACAGGAATTTGCACTCAAACTTTACATTTCTACTTCAGAGATCAATCGTTCAGGCAGAAAGGAAAGTCCACCCAATTCCATAATCCCTTAGTACAGTCCAGTCTTCATTGGTGTGTTTCGAGTTGGCCGCGTGGAGCAGGGTGGATTAAATGTACTCAAGCAGGCCTAACGAGTTTGAAATACTGAAGGCGAGTGTTGCAGCAATTCTATGACCGTGGTACAGAATCCGGACCATGGAGGTTGACGCTGACCGCCGAAGCCGGAGGATGGATTTGCGGGTAGGATTTCATCAGCTAGGAACCTGTTGACTCGAGATCTTGAGTATGGCCGAAGACTCTGCTTTAATTTGCATCTCGCCGGTCGGTCCGCTCTGCTTCGCAGCTCAACCTTTTTGGACTCAACGCTCTTCACAACCCACTCAACACACAATTCTTTCATACTTGATATAATCTTCGAGGCAGCTTTTGTCCCCTCATGAATATGCTTTTATTGAGATCTTTGAACTTACCCAAGTGGTGTCTAAATGTTTTCATCCTATCTTGGGGCTTTATAACTGTCCTCAACGGCTTTCCGTTTGAAAAAAATGGCCAAGGCTTCTTCGGGAAATGTTTGGGCTATGGACTTTGTGGAGGTATCCACGAATGTCATCAAACCAGGGCAGATGGCACACTTAGCCATTCGGCGGCGATGAAGGGTAAGAAGAGGCTAAAAATTTATCATTGTTTTGTCCAGAAATCGGATGGATCAAATTGACTTAGATACTTAATTCGAATCAAAGCTGGCCATGAAAGTATTTCTCATCCAGGAAGTTTGCGCAAAGGCGGCGATACAAGCCCACGGATTACCCAGGTTCCTGTGGTCAATCCGGCGGCCTTTTCAGGATGTGGTACAAAATATAGATCCAAATCCTTACCGAATAAAACTGCAAGAGGTTCATCTATCCAAAGCCGTGATGGGACAGTCGGAAAATCTAGATCGCTGACAATTCTGCGAAAACCCACCAGTTCTTTTTCAAGGGACTCTTCGAGTTTGCTTGACAGCAATGGCCCTCATACTGCACCGAAGACACTAGCAGACGAACAGGGAGCTGGCAAAATAATACCTGGAAACATTCCTTCTTTGCGCTCTCCCCAATGGCGTAAAAGTCTAAAACCAGAGGAGGAAGACAACAACAACAACCACAACCGAGTATTGGCAAATCAGAAGCTAAACGAGTCGATACCAGGTCATTCCCGTGGAAATTTAAAGCAGGGACTAAAAGAATCGATACCAGATCATTTCCATGAAAGTATTAAGCAAGAACCGAACGTATCGAAACCAGATCATCTCCATGAAAACGTTAAGCAGGAACCAAACGAATCCATGCCAGATCACTCCCATGAAAGTTTCCGTGGGTTCTGGGAACAGGAACCAACAGGACAGCCACCTGCTACACATGAAGCTGCGTTGCCAGGTGTTGAATCCTGGTGGGAAAGGTGAGGTATTTAAAATAATAATCATCATCACCTGAGAGAAAGTAGTAGATGTGTACTGAAGCCTTGCTATAAATCGAACAGTCAACATTTTCGAAACAACAAACAGCCCACCATGATTACCAATGAAGAATAAGAAGCGGCATAAGACCTTCAAAAATGAATTCATTGCTTTGGCTGTCAGCAATCTCTTGTGTCTGATTATAACTCATGTCCATTCATATGTTCAAGTAGTTTACACCAATTCTACATTTTTCTGTTTAAAGAGCACAAAACAATAAATTTCTGGTCTAGTCTGAGGCGGGAAACAATTTCTGTTTCTATTTGAAAAAATTAGAGATGGTGGGGGGGGGATCAACCCAATTTCATCACTAATGGGAAATAGTATGAATAAACGAAATAAAATAATGCAGGAAAGATATGGAGGTTGAAAGGGTCACTGAAATACATCAGTCAAACATTCATCTTTCTTGAACTGAAAAACAGGCCCTTAAACATTGCCTCAATTATCAATAATGTGCAAGTTACGAATTGTTTTATGCAAGGTTCAACATTTTTGCAGAGTAGATAACACGCAGCTCTTAGCTATTCCTAAGGTTTGATCTCAAAAGCGCGCAGATGAGTTCCTAAAGATAATTATCCTGAATTGAATTTCCAAGATGGTGTCCTGAGCTTGCTCTACACCACGCTGGAGCCAGCCAGGTGTGTCTGAGCAGTAAGGAGTGGTTAGACCGGCTTGTCCGTCCAACAATTACACATGTTCCAGCAGTTTCTGAGACTGTCAATGAGGATACTGAATGACTGATAATGCTTTACGAAACTCAGAAACAGGCAGTTCCGCCGGGGGAGTACATACGGTGACGGCGAGGCTTTCAGGCCAACATGATAACCTTGCCGTCACACTCCCCCGGAACGGTAGTCTGAATAATCCAAGTGTTGCAGCAAGAGTATGGCTGGTACAGGATTCATGAATAGGTCCCTTCTTGGTGTTAGCCGCTGAAGCCTGATGTTTTTGCTATCGAACTGTCTTATTTACCAGATGTAGAGAATCTGTTGGCTTGGGATATCAAGTATTGAAGAAGCCAGCCAATCACTACTTCATTACTCAACTTGGAGCTGACCTCTTCTTGGTACTTAGTCATAAAAATTAATCTTGGCATTTTGATATAACCTTTTTGAACACTTTCTTGATTTTTGATTGATATGTTTTTCGAAAAACTTAAAAGCCCTACCAACTTCCTTAATAGGAATCTCAAAGTTTTCCTCCTCACTTGGGGCTTCATAAATTCTCTCAGCGGCTTTCCCGCTCCACCTAATGGGCAAGCTGTAATCACAGATAGCAGGGCCTACAGTATTGATAAAGGGTCAAAAATTCATTCTGATGAGCCAAATTGGCTGGTGGGAAAAAGTGAGTGCCATTGTGCTGAAGATTTATTAACATTTGCCAGAAGGATAGGTTGGATTAAACTGATGTGAATGTTGAATTCAAATCAAAGCTAGTAGACAGTGGTCTGACTCAGCAAGTTTTCAAATAAATGGTGACATTGATACCAGCTCAGAAAATAATCAACTTCCTGAGTCCAACTCTTTGCATCGGGGAGAAGTGACTGTCATCAATGGTGGAGCAGATAGGTTAATCTCATCATCAAGAAAAACCTCAAGGCTATCAAGCCATTATGATTCAATTGTAAGAGCAAAAAGAAACAGTCAGAAAAGAAAGAAAGAACAAAATATTGCTAGCCAAACCAGTTCTCCATCAATTGATCATTCAAACTCAGTCAGTATGACAAGCAATGATAGAGAAGAGAAATCAAATAAAAAACTGGAAGCCATGAAAATTCAATCAAACCTTTCACTCCATAGTCAAACTGAAGCTCCAAAAACAAACCAGAAAGATGTAAAACCCAATTTATTGGAGCAACATCTGATAAATGAAGAATTCAAAACATTTCTGGTAAAGCTGTTTTCTCCAAGACAGGTGGATGCAGTGCAGCAGGATCATAAATCCCAGGGAAATAGGTCAGGGATTTCATTAATCATCATAACTTCTTTGATTGAGTGCTGAAACTCTGAAATGTTTGGTGAAATGTTTGTATATGTAGTAGCATGAAGAAAACCAACTTGTTGATGTTGTTCACTAAAGGAACACGTGCCAAGACAGCAGAGGTTACTAAGAGTTCATATCATTCCTCTCTTCCAATAGCCAAAACCAAGGATTCCCTTGATGTTTCCCTTTGGAACCTCAGTCGTAGTTACTTATAAAAACCCGTCATCATAACATTTTGTTAATTTTAACAGTCACTTTAATCTATCAAGATTGTTTCTTCAAATTAACTCTGCATGTCACTTGATTATTTCTAGCCATACAGTCTGGTATAATCACCCTCTATTTCCATATTTTCCTCTTTGAATTGAAATTTTTTCAATTCAAGGATCCTAATTTTGGCTATCCCATATTCTAAATCTTTATTTCTGTTATTCAAGATATTATTTGTCTTACTAGATAATCTCCATTTTTCCTATCATAATACCCTGATCTAGGCTTTTATCTCTACTATTGAATAGGTTCCTACATCAATTTATTGATATTTCTAATTAGTTTAATGTAAACCCCCCCTCCGGCTTGGTTCACAAACCTTTCACTCAGATGTCACATCCCCCTTTTAGTCTTCATCTTCAAGTTCCCCTTCCTGGCTCTGCAGAGATCTTCCCTTCCATCTCTCTGAGCCAGGTGAGTTCCATTTCTCTTTTTCATTTTCTCTTTCCTTCTTGTTTTCTCCTTTTTAGATTGTACTGAGAGATCTTCCCTTCCATCTCTTTGAGCCAGTAATAAAAAGCTCCCCGTGTTTGGTCTTAGAAAAGTTTAGGTTCAATTACCTGCTCTCCGTGCCACTTCTCTGTCCATTTAGTGAAGGACATTCTCAGTCCTTACATTTAATTTCAATGATCCCAAATTTCATGCTCCTGAAGCCCCAAAAAAATGGAAATTCAAATAACCTTGCTCAAATTTACTCAGGGATTTGAGCAACAGTGGGAATCAACCGCATCTGTGACACATAAAGTGGAGGACTTTCTGTGGGTCCTGCAGAACCAATTCAAAGCCTTGAAAACCCAAATTCTCTGCAATAATCTAGAGTTATCAAGTCTAGATCAACTTCTGTGAGGGCTCCAGTCTGCACTGGAAGTCCTGTAGTAAAGTTATTGCAACGGTTTTTGGCCAATATTGTTATCTTGACTAGTAAATGCGGTGCTTGAAAATATTGCCCCACAAGGAGACCGATTATCATTTTCAAATTCATTCACTGTACCTGAGTGAGCTAACAAGGAAGAAAACATCAATTGAGGCCTAATTTGGCCTTTTCTTTCTTGGTATTGGGTTATCCAGGTAAACACACATTACTTAACCAGTAATGGCCTCAACAAAACTGGCCCTTTACTCCACACATGATGCTGGTAATCACAATTTACTGTTCCAGATAACAGTGGCAATAGTAACAGCAGGTTGAAATCTTGTTAAGATCACATGTATATGCAGGCACCCGGGAGACCGATGCGCCGGGGGTGTCACACGCAGTAATCCTCCGGATGAGGTGGTGTACGGGGAGTTGTGAGGTGAACTCTCGGTTACCCAGTTCTAACTCCAAGGCGCTCTGCTAAAGAAACATGGTCGGTAAATTTCTTTTTCCCCAATCGAACAACCTGAACATCAAACCATTGACATTCTCTCATCAGTCCATCAGACTACTCAATCCAGCTCGGTCATCCAGTCTATCTCGCTGGATCATCCATTCCGGCCTCGGAAGAATTCCTACTAGAAACTATTCGAGCGGCAAGGACTCGAGCAATATCGTCTATCTCGGACTAGGCTCTAACATCGGAGACCGATTGAAAAATATTTCGAATGCTCTCCAATCGCTCTCGAACCATGATCCTTCGACCCGTGTACTTGACTCGAGCTTCGTCTATCAATCTCAGCCGATGTATGTCACCGACCAACCCGAATTCCTCAACGCGGCTTGCAAAGTTCGTTTTCCCATATCATCACTTCTTGAGATGAAAGAAGACCGTGCTCTGATCATCGATCATTTTTATAGATATCCACTCCCCTATCGCCTCAGGAACTCTTAAAAATCATCAAGAGAATCGAGGCCGATCAAGGCAGGATACTCGAGAACGTTCCTCGAAACGGTCCCCGTCCGATCGACATTGACATTTTGCTGTACAACTCTGAAATCATCAGACAGGATAATTTGACAATCCCTCACATAGGAATCCTTGAGAGACAATTCGTACTTGATCCTTTAATTGAGTCCGTGGATCCTGCTCGTCAATTGTCATTTTTTTACTGTTTCTCTCTTCCCTAACTGATCTTGTTGATCAACTCAATTCCAAACTTCATTTCCTTTTCCATATATATGAAGGTTATAATTGGCTTTTTAATGTTTTGCTTGTTTCAGTGTAGCCAGGAAGACGATTCATCCAGAGACCCGGACACCCATCGAAGCACTGCTGGCTGATCTGAAGCAGAAGACGAGCAGTTCGACGCAAACAACGAGCACGGGAGGTGTCAGGAAGACACATCTGATCAGGGGGCTGGGGTGTCGGACATTGGATCTGAGTAGCCGGACGCATCTGATGTCAATTATCAACTGCACACCAGATTCGTTCTCGGATGGAGGGGCATCCTTTGCAGTAGAGGATGCGGTCCGGAACTCGCTCGAGCACGTATCTGCAGGGGCGGACATCCTGGACATCGGGGGGATGTCGACGCGACCGGGGGCAACGGAGGTGTCAGTGGAGGCAGAGATCGGACGGACCGTGCCAGTGATCAGGGAGCTACGCGAACGCCATCATCTAGACTGTCACATCAGCATCGACACCTTCCGAGCAGCAACGGCCGAGGCGGCCGTAGGCGCGGGCGCGACGATCGTCAATGACGTCTCTGGCGGAGAGGCCGACGAGGCCATGCTTGCCACCGTCGCCCGCTTGGACGTGCCCTATGTGCTGATGCACATGCGTGGGAACCCCCGAACAATGTCCCAACTGACTAGCTACCAAGACGGAGACGTTGTTGCCGGCGTACGCAGGGAGCTTGCCGTGAAGGTCCAACGAGCTCTTCGTGCAGGCATCAAACGCTGGAACCTGATCATCGACCCCGGCTTCGGCTTTGCCAAGGACCTGGCGGGGAACTGCCAATTACTTGACGCACTCAACTCGCTCCAAGGAGTCTCATCGTCCGAGGATCAGGATTGTCTGCAAGGCTTTCCGATCCTTGTCGGCCTCTCCCGCAAACAATTCCTCGCCAAACTCCTCACTCTCCCTCCCCCCGGTTCCACTACAACCGCCACTCCTCCTCCTCCTCTCCCCCCACCCGATCAACGCTTAGTCCCGACTATTGTTGCTTCAACTATCGCTATTCGTAACGGTGCTCATTTGATCCGCGCTCATGATACTAAAATCATTAAGGAAGTCATCAACACTGTTGACGGTATCCCGGTCCTTTCAAATTCTTCTTGACAACATAGATCAACATCTAGAAAACATTCAAGCCACTGTTTTGTCTTTGCTGCAAGTTCACAGAATAGCTGGCAAGCTTGTACAACCCAGGGGAGTGCTGCTTGAATTGATTAATTCAGTGTGAATTATCCTATTGTATACAGACATTTTTTTCCCTTCAATCAATTTGTGACATAGAAGGTGCCCACTGACATACTGCAATACCTTGCCACTTCACAGTTTCTCTTTGAGACCTAGCTCCCCTGACTAGCATCAGTAACTCCTTTGATGATGAGCAAAGGCCATTGGGGCAGTGAAGGCCTTTCAATTACCAGTTTTGGTCATTAGGTTAGTCAAGTCTCTGGACGACCAATGTTGGTTATTGGTGGGTGGAGGTTTTTTGATGGTTGGTGCTGGTCATTGGGGGAGGTGAGCCCTTTCAATGACTGCTAGTGCAAGCCATTAGGAGGGTGTAGCACCAGCCATTAGGAGGGTGTAGCACCAGCCATTGAGAGAGCTGCACCTGTTGTTGAAACTTGAGCTGGGAGTCATTCATGTGCAAGTCTTCAAGCATTGCTGCTGCTTCTGTGGTGACATAGCACTTCTGGTGGAAATTTGGTAGGCATGCCCACAGGTGGGCTGATCATGAAACAAATGCCATCCACCGTATGACTACTGCAATTACTAAACCAATTTTTTTATCTTTCTTGGGGCTGATCTATGCCAATCATATGCAGCAAGGGTGTTGGTCTGCATTGCTATGAGTACAGCAATGTTGTGATTGCTTGCCAGTTTCAGGGTGCAGGAAAGTACAAGCAAACTGAGTTGGGGTTTCATTTCTAGGGATGAGAGGAATGGTACTTGTAGACAAGAGGGATGGGGAGTGCTTGAGTGAGATATAGGACTGTTACAAGAGGAGGGTGAGGAGTCCCATTGGATGGGACTTGGTAATACAAGAGGTTTGCCGGGCTAGTAAGAGTCTGGCCAGAGTTTGGTATTGTAATTTACATGGTTAGATAAACAGAATCAAGAGAAGAGAAGATAACAGGGTTGCAAATGGCAGTACAAATGGAGATAAAGCCAAGAGCAGCAAGAAAAGATAGTTAAAGGGCTGAGAGTGGCTTATAAAGAGTAATAAGGGAGACCAAGAGCAGTAAGAAGAATTGAGAAAACTATACAACTTTTATTTCATAAAACCAGAACCAGACTGAGAGAAAAACAATATTAATGATAAAGTAATGAGAATGCAGTCAAGAAAGAGGAAAGAGAAGATTTACCACCACAGTTATTTAACACACAGTTATTTAACAATGTAAAGAACAACTTAAGGAATTTAATGTAGAGTGGTTGAAGACTGAGAGGACAAATGGAATCAGACGACGTGATCCATTTAGATGAGAGTTCTTTGACAAGGTTGAAGATGGATTGTATTTGTTGTTTTTGACTGAGGTCAATACCTGAGAGATTGGGATAGGCTTTGTTGAGATCTTGAGATGAGTTCGCTGCCGAGTTGTTGATGAAGAGCCAGTGATGAACCGGAGAAGTGAGAAAATGAAGGCTTTTTATACTGAGAGAGTGAGGATCGATAGGGTTTATGACTTGTGGTGAGATAGGATTAGGTTTGACTTATGATTCTTGCTGCGGTGGTCAGCAATGCGGATTCAGAGTTGTTGTTCACAGATGGATCACAGGAAGTTTCAACAAGAATAACACCAGGCCAAGGCCGTATACCTCTAAGCAGTCAAGAGGGGCTATTGTGTTTAAGGCATTGTCCCAGGGTTTGGGACGGGGCTGGAAAGCTGTCCCAAGTCACAGACCTTGGGAATCCCGGGATTGCCCCAAAGCCCCATGAATTCCGTTCTGAACCCTCATCTTGCATATTTTCTTGTCTTTTTGCTGTCTTTTTCTTATTTTTTCTTATTTTTTCTTATTTTTTCTTATTTTTTCTTATTTTTTCTTATTTTTTCTTATTTTTTCTTATTTTTTCTTATTTTTTCTTATTTTTTCTTATTTTTTTCTTATTTTTTCTTATTTTTTCTTATTTTTTCTTATTTTTTCTTATTTTTTTCTTATTTTTTCTTATTTTTTCTTATTTTTTCTTATTTTTTCTTATTTTTTCTTATTTTTTCTTATTTTTTCTTATTTTTTCTTATTTTTTCTTATTTTTTCTTATTTTTTCTTATTTTTTCTTATTTTTTCTTATTTTTTCTTATTTTTTCTTATTTTTTCTTATTTTTTCTTATTTTTTCTTATTTTTTCTTATTTTTTCTTATTTTTTCTTATTTTTTCTTATTTTTTCTTATTTTTTCTTATTTTTTCTTATTTTTTCTTATTTTTTTCTTATGTTTTCTTATTTTTTCTTATTTTTTCTTATTTTTTCTTATTTTTTTCTTATTTTTTCTTATTTTTTCTTATTTTTTCTTATTTTTTCTTATTTTTTCTTATTTTTTCTTGTTTTTCTAATTTTTTTCTTGTTTTTTCTAGATTTTTCTTCTTGTTTTGCTTGTTTTTTTCTGTTCTTTTCCATGAAACAAAGCCTATATGACACCCCACAAATTCACGGGGTTTTGGGGCTCCTCTGACCCCATCCCGAGTCCCAAACTTTGGGGTCCGGGACCGGGGCAGTTCGGGATTCCCAAGGTTTGGGACAATGCCTTGATTGCGTTATGAGGAAGGAGGGGCTTCACAATTTCCAAGCCAGCTGTCTTCTCTTCTCTTCATGTCTTGACTTTGGCTGAACATTCTGCTTGTCCTTAATTGTTTGCCATCTCATCTTTCAGCATTTTCCAATTGCTTGCATTCCCAACTTCAAAACCATTTAAACATTCCAAATATTTGCCTGCGTTTGTACAGACATTATTCTTAGACTAGACTATTTGCACTATCCCTACCAGTAATTTTAGCATTTCTGGTTCTCTTCCTTGATGCTTACCCTTGTATTCTCAAGCAGCGCATCCTAAATACTCCTGACATCAGGTCCCT